TAATTGTATCCATGGTTGTGAACAATTTATCTTCATTTTGATTATTTTACTAATCTAGTTTTTAGTCTACAATTTTTTTGTTTGTAATTTTAATTTTTGTAAAATGTCAACTGTTAATTTTTATTTTATCTATACTGTATTTGCACCTTTCAATGGTATTGACTGAACATAAGTGCCTTAAAGGTTTGTAAAGGACTTAAATGATTAATAAAGTTTATAAAAAATAAATATAATAAAATAATTGAGTGGGTTTTGATGCCTTTATTTTTTACCTTTAACTAGTACAATTTTAAGTGCATTACTTTGAATTGTAACAGAGTATTTTTACACTGTAGTATTGCTAATTGTACTTAATCTGAGTACTTCTCCCATCTCTGCTTTGAGCAGCTAAAGCTCTGGGGGAGCAGCTCCTCATGTTAGCAGCCTGCAGCAGCGATGACCCTTAGCACAGTTTGTCACTCTGTTGGCCATGAACTATGGACTCACAGTCTAGGCATAAGATACAGAGTTTATTATATGTTGAAGCTAACATAGCTAGCTGCTTTGTACTTTGTTGACACTTATAAACAGTTCATTACACTATGGCCTGCTTGGTAATTTTAACAAAACAGGCGTTTAATGCACAGAAAACTGTTGTCAGCCCACAATGCTAGCCTCACGTCTTCACTAGGGTCCTACGTGTTGTCTTGCGAAATAGGACAGCATAAATGTTAAATAATATTACCTTCGTCATGCCCACACCGATGACAAACACCCTGTTATTGCCTCGTTGTGCCATAGTTGCTTTATTTCGACAGCTGGTCCACACAGAGACAGACAGGTCTGTGGACAGCACACAACATTAGCACTGACAGGATACAACTGATTCAACTGTAGAGCAAAGATCCTCTGCACGCAAGACGATGCGTCACTCGGTACGAATATTTAGCTATACTAAATACAAAAGTTTTTGTACATTTACACAAACTGATGCAGGATGAGATTACTTGAGATATACATGATTTACCTAACAGCCCTTATTTATTCCATAGTCACTTAAACATATTATTATGCCAGGCTACATGATTTTGCTAATACAGTAAGGCATATTGTATCCTACAATATGGTATGGTATGGTATGGTATGGTATGTTATGTTATGGTATGGTATGGTAGGCAACAAAAAAAAGTTGGACTACCTAAAAGGTTAAGCTTAATTGATACTAATGCACAAGCACTTAGAATAGCAACAAACCTGCAGGTACATTTGTACAAATAAGCCATACTATTCTGAGTTTGTATCTTCAGTCTCTCGCATGATGGCTGCTGGAAGTGTTTCTTGAAATGCAGTTTGACTTTTAATTGTCCCAACTTTTTTTTATTTTGCCAAATCACATAAAGGAGAGTGGGATCTGCTTTGTTAATAGAGTGGCGAAGTCACGCCCATCTACTTCCGCCCCATGGGACCTTATTTCGGAAAAATAATGTATTGAAGTCAATGGAGAGAGAAAACTTATCTTTCAATCCCGTTTGAATTGTGCCATGAATTACACATATGATGTTTGTCAATCTTAAAAAATCATTTCCATGTCAAAAAAGTCACAGTTTGTCGTAAAACTGTTGAAATATAAGACTATGAAAAATACGTAACTAGAAAGACTACAAATCCCAGAGTCGCGTAAGTGATGTCACAATTGTTTTCCTCCACTAAGAGATAGCTAAGATCAGCACCATATAGATAGAATCTATCTATATGGCGCTGGCTAAAATAAGATAACTTTAACAAGATGCCTGTGTGCTTAGTACCAGGTTGTTATTATACCAGCAATGGGTCTTGCTCGTTCTTTCGCTTCCCGTCTGATGAAAGGACCAGCAGTGTCTGGATCATGCTAGCTAGTAGCTAGCATGTTAGTTAGCATTACAGCCTTGTCATTTTTATTAGCCTTAACATGAAGTAACATTAAGTAACCCAAAATGTTAAACAGTAAGAGTAGTAGTCATATTTCGTGAACCCTTTGAAGAGTACTGTCACCGGTGTGATCATTCTATAATACACAATTTAAGCCCGGGGGAGAAATGCTAACGCTAACGCTAGCTTCAACGATCTTCTCTACTTCATGCTATCTGCACAAATGGTTGACATTAAACATTAAAACGACCAGGCAGTTCAGAGAGAATCAAAGGAAGGTAGGCAGGCAGCTTTGCATGACATTCTTCAGGACGTGTTTCATTGTGGTGATAGTGAGGGTAGTCAATCGTTTTGTTGACAAGACAGTAGTGACGGCCATCTTGGTGACGTGTGTTGTTGACCAGAGATGTAGTTCATTGAGCGTTTCACACAAACAAATGTGTTACTTCACAGTTTACGACACATTTTTTTTTTTTGACTTGCAAAATTATCTTTTAAATTGACAAACATCATATGTGTAATTCGTGGCACAATTCAAACGGGATCGAAAGATAATCTTTCTCTCTCCATTGACTTCAATACATAATTTTTCCGAAATAAGGTCCCATGGAGGTCCACCGGAAGGGGAGGGACTTCGCCACTCTATCCTTTCCCAGCCACTTTACGTTGATTAACATTTCTGGACAGCTCACGGTACCATGAAATACTGACAGAGTGAGAGCTCTTTCATTTCTTCTCCTTCGTTTTTTCAAGATTCAAAGTTGTATTGCCATATAATGTACACAACTACGGTGTAGTTATGTAATCTATGAAAAACTTAGATCGCATGTTCCTCAACAGTGCAATTTACAAGACATAAAAACAAATATATAAAAAAACATATAACAAACAAATAAAATAAAAATAGTGCAACTTCAGGTGTTATATAGTTGTATGGCCTGTGGGATGAAACTGTCTCGGAGTCTGGTGGTTTTAGTCCTGATGCTGCGGTACCGCCTGCCAGACGGCAGCAGACTGAACAGTTTGTGGCTGGGATAATGGGGGTCTTTGTAATCCTGAGGGCTTTCTTCCTGAGCCGCTGGGAGTAAAGGTCCTCCATGGATGGCAGCTCCGTCCTGGTGATGTGCTGTGCAGTTTTCACCACCCTCTGTAAAGCCTTACGATTGAGGGCGGTAAAGCTGCCGTACCAGGCCGAGGGGCTCCAGTATTGAGGATCAGGGTGGAGGATGTGATGTTTCCCACCCGCACAGCCTGGGGTCTGCCCGTCAGGTAGATCAGGATCAGGTTAACAATCATCTTCTGTTCTTTCTTATCAGCTCAAGTCGTGCATTTTCACAATTTGGGATGTAAATCATTCATTTTGATCAGTCTTAATTTAAAGACATTTCAGTTTCTTCAGCCTTTTTATGATGTTCTGGGCTTTTTTTGTGTCTTGTATATTGGTTTAATACACCTACTGATAATTAAAGTGGACCTATCATGCTATATTTGAATAATATATTGTAGGGCCATACCTATATAAGGTATATTTATACGTTTTCTTTTTCAAAATACCAAACAGATCATGCATTTTAGCCATGCCTCATTTCACTCTATTTTGCTCTCCTCCACCCCTGTCTTTGCATGCACTGCAGCTGACCACGCCCCCCTGCAAAGGAGGGGGCCGAGTTACGAGCCATTTTACCATGCTGTTACCATGCCACGGCAACCTCTCATTCCCCTGATAGGTGGAGAGTTGGCCATATAGGCGGAGCTCCTCCGTCCTGACATCAGATAAATGTTCGACACTTGGTGAGTATTCCCTTGGTGAGTTCCCTGGAACACCGGGGACACATATTCATGTATAAAAGACGTACAAAAGTGCATTTTGCATGATAGGTCCCCTTTAACCTGTTAAGCCCTGAGCCTGTTTTTCAGGTCTCAGGCTCGAAAATGACATTCCCAGAACAAATGACCATATCTTCCCTTCTAAAAGGGTTAAATTAATAATCTTTGTTCTCAAAGTAATGATAAACCTGTGAGTTGGATGTAGAAAAGTCAGAATCAAAATAGATGTTTTTTATTTTAAAGAAAATTCAGATATTACATTGTAAAAAACTGTAAATTATAGTGTCCGTCCAAAAATTCTTTTTTACTTATAGTGAAAACTACCCTTGGATGATGGTAAGGTAGACTAAAAGCTTTAAGAATCCAAAGTACAACATATAATAAGTACCCTGTATCAAGATTGATGCAAAACAAGTGACATTTGACCTTTTTAGAGAGGTTTAGCCAAAAACACTCCACCTCTGAGGTGATTTGGGTGGAAATGTTTTTTTTTTTCCTATCTCTGGAACCCATTGGTCGATTTTGATGGTTGACACCTCTTTCTGACCGTTAGAGCCAATAGAATCGAAGGGGGAGTCCCCCACACACACTCATTGTGAAACAAAAAGGTGGGGGCTTTGCGCATGTAATTTTGCATTAGAGTGAAGCTACAGTCTAGCCCTGACATCTAGAAACGTAAAAGCATGGATTATCCGTTTTATTGCTCATGGATTATCAGAAATCATTTCAAAGGGACACAGACACATTGGATTAACCTATGGATTAACTTCAGCAGCGTTTTTATCGTTTTAATGCCATTGAAGACCACTTTGGAGAGACTACAGAGCCAAGGTAAGAATGTTAGCATTTTTAGCTACCTAGCGTCACCTGTTTTGATGTCTGTTTTTGTTTATAACGTCGCAAATTCGTATAATTCAGTGATAATGAGGGTACCCATCGATTCTGTGTCACCTCACGATGTGAATCGATGTCATGGATGTGGAGAAAAGATAAATAATAAGGTTTTGCGAGTGATTTTCGGTGCAGTAATCTGTTAGCATTTTTCGCTCGTTGCTAATTCAGAGGCTCAGTGTTAGCATTGTGGGTTTTCTTTTGAAAATAATAAAAAATGATCAGTTAGATGAGTTTCTTCCCGTTACATGGATATAAAACATTCATAGTTTATTAAATGAACATGCCCTCAGACACTGTTTCCTGCAAGATGTTGCGGCAGTGCCCCGGTACCGGGGTCTCTCGGGCTTAACAGGTTAAACGTGACACTCACATTTGCAAAGAAAAAGCTTAACTCAAAATGTACACCTTTCAGTTTTATTGAGGCAGTGAAAAAAACATGTCGATTAATCCAAAATGTGTATGGACACGCTGTGGTATCATTCCACAGCCTTTAATGTTCATCATCAATCCAACCTCAGCATATGAAGCATCCTTGATGCTAGCAATTGGCCTGAGGATATTTGGCTGTAGTGTTCAAACTCCCCCTCTGAGGCTTCGCGCATGATGACATCAACACTTGATGAACTGATGTGTGACTTCATATATTCCCACCGACTCGTTGACTTTCTCATCGTAGTCTGTCCAGTCCTGAAATTCACGCAAGTATTTTAAAAGTAGCAGGGATGAAAGAGGCCTTCACAATCTGTAAATACAGTTGGCAAAATTAAAAGTAATTTTCAGACAGAAGCAGGAGTGGAATACATTAAAAAGTCAGTAACTAAATAAGTACTGAAAGATATCCAACAATGCAGTACCGTGGTTAATATGTAGTTTTAAGTCTAATGTTCTCTTAGAATAAACAAAATCGACAATCACTGAGGAACGCGTTGTTCCCTCCTTACTTTTTCTAGCAGGTTGACTTCCGGAAACTTTGTTCCAGACTCTGCCCCCTGTGCTGCGAAGCCAGCCTGGAGTGGGTTTCATAGAAATCGAGAAGAGTCACATGACATTAGTTCAGTTCATGGATTGTGTTACCTTAAAGTGGACCTATCATGCTATATTTGAATAATATAGTGTAGGACCATACCTATATAAGGCATATTTATACTTTTTTTTTTTCAAAATACCAAACAGATCATGCATTTTAGCCATGCCTCATTTTGCTCAATTTGACATTTTTTAGATCTGTTTTTAGCAAGGGTTGATTCTGTGAGCAACAGCACCATCTAGAGGCCTGGCATATGTACTACAACGTCTCCAGCGCTTTCGAACGGCAATGCCGTGGTTGTCTCCTCCTGATTGGTGGAGTTGGCCCAATAGCCGTAGCGCCACTGTCCTGAAGTCAGGAAAGTGTTCAAATCTGGATCAGTTTTTATCAGATCCGTTGCAGCCCCTTTTTTAGAGATTTGGGTATGGAGGAAAATAGAGAGGGTTGTGTTTTCTGACACTTGGTGAGTTCCCTGGAACACCGGGGACACATATTCATGTATAAAAGACGTACAAAAGTGCATTTTGCATGATAGGTCCCCTTTAACATGACTGTTTTTAAATGCCATTTTCTTAATGTCTTTCATTTTTTGTAAAGCACTTTGAATTGCCTTGTGTTGAAAGGTGCTATATAAATAAACTTGCCTTGCCTAAGTAAACTCTCTGACTCTGGAAACATATCCTTTTCTTTCCCAAAGCAAATATGTTGACATAGCAGAGAGCACGAATGAGTATCTAATAACATTATTCCATTTCAACCAATTTAGGTTGCATATTGCATATTACCAGGGCCAATTAAACAGGTGTAAATAAGCAAATCAATGATGGGGTTTTGGGGTCCTGACATTGTGTATGCTAACTCACTGTCATGGACACTTGAATGTAACTTTATTGAAGGGATAGTTCAGATGTTTTGAAGTGGGGTTACTTAGTCATATTCAATGTATTTCCTACAATACATAGCAGTCAGGACTTCCTCTGTAAATAGAAAAAGACTGGAGTTACACTGCTGTGGATCAAGGCAGTTGAAGTGCTTTACCCCTTTACCTTGCTGTCAGATATCCCTTTCCAAAGGGGAACTCAAACCATTATTTCCATCTAAGGTTTCGCCAAATCCACCGACTCCATTGACAAAAACAGTCATTTTACCTGGCATAACACAAGGGAACCTGGTCTACCGCTGCTTCAATCAGTGAGTTTGTGTCTGTGACTTTGTTGAATCTAAATGACAAAAAGTAGCATAATTACACAAATAAACAACTAATGGATGCAAGTTAAAGCAATCCAAAACATTTAAATATAGCGTACATTTAAACTCGTATTGATATTTTTTAGGTGACCCTTCCTTTTAGTTGTTTATTTTTTGCTGCTGCTTCTGTCAACAGCAGTATGTCGCTTGGCTTCCATACTATAACTGATTATGTACGGGGACATTATACCACCAAACTTCAAAATATCTGACCTATCCCTTTTATCTTATTGGTAATCTGTGCTTGTTTTCTTCTGTGAAAATGTGTCTTACTTGAGGTTGGAAGTCAATGGGCTCCAGACCTCGACATTCAAACTGCACCATCGTCTTGAATCTTTCGCTGTTCTCTGCCTTTAACCCAGCAAACAAAAAAAGAAAACCACACAGCTGAAAGAAAAAGCACTCACCAATGTATGTGACAAATGTCCTGCATGTGTTTAGAGTAATGATATGATCTTAAGGAGTGACTTTACTTTAAGAACTGCAGAAAGGAAAACAAAAGGTTACAAAACTTACAGAAAAAAAGGAATTGGTTCAAAATTTTGTTTGTCTTAAAACAAAAGGCAGGTACCCATAGGAACATGGAAACAGGGTTTGCTTGTAATCCTTCTGTCTTTTTACAGATTTTTTTATTTGAGAATTTTCAAGCATGAGATGTTTGCTTACATTATACGGTGTGATTGTATCTCCAAGGATATCTGTAAGGAAAAGAAACAGTTTACAAGTTATACTTCCACCAGAGATTTTACGTCAGAAAAAATATATGTCACATAGTGTGTGAGTTTCTCATACCAATTGAATTTTCCCTGTAACAGAGTTTACATTTCTGCACCATACTGGCACTGCCTCTTCCTCCTTTTAGTGGCACACTCTCCTGAGGAATAACAAAAAAAACAGGTTGAATACGTGTGCAAAGTTTGCCACACTAAAGGTTAACAAATGTACTTACCACTTGGGTTATATACTGCCATTTATCTGGGATCTCTCCGCAGTTTCCACACTTCAGCTGTAACACATACTGTACTGGTTAGTAGTGAATAGTGACAACAAAACGAAATAAACATTTGTCATGTAAATGCGTTCCCATATTTAGTTGTCACGTAGGGTGAAAATGCAATACGTTTACAAAAAGCAGGATAAAGTGTACAACATTCGCGAAAACAGAGAGGAAAATAAAATACTTAATAATACTATACTAAAGTCGCATGCTAGCTTTGACAGCCATCCTACCTTTAGAAACCACCGGAAGTCGTCACCTAATGGTTTCACATTGGTGACATTCTCCAAAGTGGCTTTGAACTGGAGTCCAAATTTCTGTAATGAGAGACAAATAGTTTGAAATTCACCAATATTAGCTAAATTGTTTAATTGTTTACATCTGAAGCATGCTACGGTGACACATACCACCATCTTGGATCTCCCCTACTGCCGTCTTCAGGTACCCCTCGTAAATTCTGGCTTCTGAGTCATAAAGGAAGGAGTTTATTTTTTTGATTGTGTTGGCTTTTGGGATGAATACATGACAAAGTAGTGAGTGAAAATAGTAACGTGTCGACGGCTGTTTTGTTCTAGAAGTCGAGTAGCATAGCGTTGCCTTGGCAAAAATGTAGCAGAAAAAGAATATAGAAACGTTCACCGTTCTTACATTACGTGCAATTTATTTATTTGTATTAGAATAACTTATTTGTCATTTAATACCGCATACAGTACGTCAACCATGAGTTTTTGCTAAGCCTAGCTTGTCGGGTATGTATTGTTTTCTGGTTTTTAGTTATATGGGACGATAACCACCATCCAAATACTCACATATCCGTCAGCACTTAAAGGGACCTTTACTCTAATAGCCTATTGCGCCCTCTAGTGGACACTGGCGCTCAATTACCTACTTATTGCTGTCATTGCAACATACTGTATTTCAATATGATTTCAATAAGAATTGTCCTTTGTTCGCATTTACACCAGTGATGCGTTCACACGTGTATGAAAATCTCATCAACGCATCTGATACAAAATAATCCCACGTTTCAGACAAGGAAATTCGGCTGCATCAGTTTATTGAACACCAAGCAATCTGTCACAATTCATCAAAAAAAACGTGACAATGCAACAGCCATACAGTACAAATCTCATGGTACAAATCAGTCATTCAATTACACCATACACAACAAATACAGCACATGGAATACAAAATTGATTCAACAGTTTTTTTTATTTATTGTATCTTTAACTTAAAGAATGGAAACTGGCCCCTACTGTGGATACTTGCTGTACATATTAACCTGAGGCAATGCGGTAGGTCTTGGTGGTTAATGGCCATACACTGGGGAATACTAATATAGCTGTGGCATCGAACACCTTTGTCTGGCATTTTAATATCATGATGGTATTCCTAACCGGAGTATATATTTCATATCATAATCTTGCAGGCTTTTTTTTGCCATGTGAATGCTAGAAAAACCAGCAAAAAATAGGGACTTTATAGAGAAATTCACATATCTACATTTTTGTAATAGTTAATTTAACCTCACACATTTTTGTTTGCTTTCTTTTGATTGGGATATATATCAATATTTTCATTAAGAGTGTAACAATACCCGCAACACTAGACTGGGTTAATACAGTAGTCAGCTGATCCTTCCAGCCTTAGGCTTTATTGGTCTGGTGGTCACATTAATCCGCACGTGAGAATCAGTACTAAAAAAATCATGTAGTGTGTAGTCAGTGATGGACACTTGAATGACACATCTTTAACACTGAAGGAAAGGCTTGGAAAGACACCCATAGATTGTCAGTACAAATACACATTGCAATCCTGGTTTTCTTCAAATCCTTATCGTTTGGAACACACCCAAACATTTATCAGACTCCCGCTGGCATTACGGCTTCAAGTTTTATCAGTCATTACAAAAAAAAAGGAAAAAAAGGGGGGTTCCCCTCTTTTATTCATTAGCGGCATGAAACTCCATGGAGCAGCGGGGGATACATAAAAAACAAAAAGCAATCTGGGAGGAAAAATGCATGAGGTCATTTAAACCCATCACAACAACTTATTTTAAACCTCCTGAAAAAAATGATCAACAATTACAATGAAGGTAACCAATAACATGAGTAGTCATTATTATAATAATAATAATAATAATAATAATAATAATAATAAAAGGCATTTCAATTATTTTTGCATTTCTTTTTTTTCCCCTCTTAAATACAGTGATGCCGACAGGCATTATTTACAGGCAGCTCCCACACCCCTCTCCGCCCCGTGAGAGAGGTGCCACGAGGTCAATGAGGCCGGCTGCTGGACTCCGAGGTCCGCCGCTGACGGGGGGCAACGTGGCCGTTCGTGCAGCCGTTGTGGCGCTTGCTTGGTCCGCCGTTCATAATGTCTTGGATGTGCTGTACTATCAAGTTGATGGCGACTGCAGGGAATGAGGAAGAGAGATATGGTTAGAAATCTTGAAAAATGTCCTCAACCGATTCATCACAATGGACAGTTATAAAGAATATATAAAAATTGAGGCAGGATGACCTGGAAGTAAGCATCGCTACTTTGACACAAAAAGAGGGATTTTTTTTATGTTTTCCCCAAATATAGCAGAAATTAAAGCCTCTTGAAAACTCACGATTACAATACTGGCACGTTTAGTTCAGCAGGATAATCTGCACATATTAACGCCACTGTTATGATATTGAAGCGTTAATGCAATCGCCATAAGTAAATAGCTTGCGTAAGGCTATATACAAACTACACTACACTTGTTAGCAATTCCCGCTTTGAAGACGCGTAAAAACGTCAGCCATTCTCGAGTCAGGTATTTTCTGACGTATTGTATGCTGTAGAATAACTTGTAAATTTTCCCTTGATATGAGGAAAGCCGGAAGTTCTAAATCGCCGACTCATTTCCGGGTTTAAGGACTCATTCCTGCACCACTCTATAGCAGCTAATGTAGCCTCCAAATCACCAGATTTACCCCATCATTTTTAAACTCGTCTTTAAACACAACTGATGTTTATTTAACTCTACACGGTTGTAAACTGACTTTGATGTGCTAAATCTGTGGAAATCCTCTTATCCACCAATAGGAGCCTGATCAACACGAAGGCAGTGTCTATGTACTGTATAATACAAATCCATACCAAGGTTATCTGCTCCTCGTGGAATAATCACATCTGCATACTTCTTTGTCTGTGAGAAATAGAGAAAGAGTTATTGAAGGGAGAAATGCATTTTTAACATTTAGGAGTCATTTATTTATCAACAAGTAGTTGTTCATTAATAACACAAAATATATATACAAACATTTTTGATAGAATTCGTATAGAATCGGGACACTTGAATTATATTTATTTAAGCAATCAGTGCTCCCTGGTGGACTAACAACGTATTTTGACATTTTCTTAATTACCTCAAACACATCTTTGGCTTTTCTGTGCTGTCATTTCTTGTTTTACATGGGATGAAATACATTAAAACCAACATAAAACTTGAAGCTAATATTGGCTAGTAATGTTTGGCATCCCAGTGTATCAGTTAGGCTCTACTCCAAAAACTAAAGGGCGCTTGTAAGGCCGGCACATCACTTACTGGTAAACAGAACTCCTCAAAGGCTGGTTTCACAAAAGTGATGTACTGAGCCAGCACCTGCTCCAGCTCCCTGCCACGCTCACTGATGTCTCGGAGAACTGAAACAGAGAATATCACACACAAATATGAATACAAGCCATTCAATGCAATAACTAAACAGGAAGGAGGGGCTCTTCTCAAAACTACACACCTCTGCGAGAGAGCCGTGTGTCTGGATCCGTGTCGACAAACAGCTTCATCTGGAACAGATCTCTGATCTCCTGAGAGTAGAACATGAGGATGCCCTCGAACAGCACCACATCAGCCGGGTACACCGTGATGAACTCCTCTTTCCTGGAACAACACAAACATGGAAGAGATTCCCTCATGTCCGTCAGCGACTACACTTGGACTGGTGCCAACAAGTTACATAATTACCCCACTGGTATAATAATTGAAGCGTTAATGCAATCGCCATAAGTAAATAGCTAGCGTAAGGCTATATACAAACTACATGATGGTCGCATGACTTCACGTCAGCAACGCTAAGCTAAAGGTGGCTAATGTTCAGCGTGATTCATTTTAGTAGTCTTATTCAAGCTTTTGTTAGCCACAGACCTTATTTCAATTCAAAACAAGGGAAGTCAGTAGTGCTAAAGGCTAACTAATTCCCGGGTTTTAAACACAACACACACCACAAAGTTATTCAGGAGCCAGTTCTTGTATATCTTCAGTGAGGTGCTTACCTGGAATGATGAACAAAGTCATACAATGGGATCTGGACCGTCTCCCCCTGCAGGATCTTCCTGAGTGTTTGCATTATGAGCTCACTGTCAAAGGCATCTGAGAAAAAAGAAAAGACAAACTATCAGCTTGGATGTTCATAAGGTCATATTACTGAGCCCTAGTTAAACCGGCCTTGTGTGCGCCTATGGACATGTGCGATCCCGCGTTGCATGTTTAGTAAGCGAGGAATCCATTTCCTGTAACAGGTGTTGGGTTCAGTCTGTGAGCCGTACAGCAGCTGTCTCGGAGAAAGGCCTGCTGACTGCTGGGATTTAAAACCAGCTGAGAAAGGAAGCAGGAGCGTGAGGGGGCAAAGTTGGGCACCAAAAATGGAGTCAGTGCATCTGCCAAAAACACGCTGGAAGAAATGCTGCTGAACACAAGCCCAATTGCTTGTATGAATAAGCAATTAAATGTCACCGTGGCCTCATTTAAAAAAGAATCCGTTACGCTTAAACAGCCTCAGCTGTTACTTATTGCACAAATGATTGCATTTACATACAAAACTAATTTGGTAGAAGTCTGAAAATGTCAATACTTAACCCACTCTCCGTATCTGGTCTCAAATTGTTTAAAAAGTACTTGAGGCAACTGCAAACTGTGATAAGGAGAGCAAACATGTGCATGCTGCGGGCCGGTGGAGGTGATATACTGAGTCTAGAGAAGTGCATTAGCTGCTTCACCATATGTGGGCATACCTGGGTGATCGAAGTTGAACTGGCCCTTCAGTGCCTTTGCCTTCTGCTCCGGGGTCAGCACCTTGTAAAAGCTGTCCTGGCTGAGGATGGCCACCTGCCTCTGGTGATGGTCGATCTTGTTCTGGCCCAGCAGCTCCATGATCTTCTCACATACCGACGACTGCGGAAACAAATAACGATAAGTGAAATGCCCCAAAGTGACCACCCCATGTTTGGCCCCGCTGACCTACACAACTAAATGTATCTCATACCCAGTGCTGACTGGGCAGATACACGGGGCTCTGTTGTCTTTGTCTCCGTTAAAATACAATGAATTTGGACGCAGCCACTTTAGAGCTGGGTGGTTGTTTTATTTGCAACAATTTCACAGGACGTGGCATCAAAGGGTCAATTCTCTGACTGATAATCAGTCCATATTTAATCTTGATCCAATAGAGTTGTGCAGTGATGGCGTATTTTAGTAGGGCGACTCAAAAAGTTAGCATTGCTAGGGCTACCTCGACAAAAAGCAATGGGATTTTCCATTGGATTTCAGAATATTGCCGAAAATCGGTTGCAAACAATCCATGATACTTAGACTTCATACAATACCTTAGACGTTTGTTTATCTGGACACTATCCACATATAAACTACTTTTATGATTTTTTTTAGGCCCTGCATCACGGTTGCATGACTTCATGTCACCACTCCTAAGCTAAAAGGCGGACTCTTGTTCAGCTTGGTGTTTAAAGGTCTCATTTAGCCACGTGTTAGCTATCGCTCATGTGGAAAAGGCTTACTTATTTCCAGGTTCTGGGACTCATTCCTGCACCACTAAGGCCATAACTGTAATTAAGAAGATGTCATAAACATCAAATAATTGCTTTCATTTTAGCAAAGTCACTTTATAGCTGGTCATTTATTTTACATGGCACTTTTTTTAAAGGAAAATGTAAATGTTCAATACCGATGGAACACAAATAAATGCTTTTCTGTGATAACTGAGAAAGGCATAAGCAGAGGGCGAATGAAAGTGCTGAATCTGCATTGCTGCCCTCCTCTCTTTCCAGGCATACTGTGCTGGAGTCTGCTTACAGACCAGGAAGCACAAGCTGGCATCGTCTAATCAATGAGCTGTCATCTTACCAAGTAAGGCTGGTCCTGTCTGGCGTCATATCCCTACAGTCACTCCTTCCTCCAGTCCCTTGTGTGGGGCTATCAGGAAGTATATATATATATATATATATATATATATATATATACACACACACACACAGTCTATGGGAAGCACAACACAGGCCCGCTGCCAGCGTGCTGGTATCTGGGACAAAGTTGGGAGGCGGGGCTATAGCCCCTCTTGTCTCATTCTATAATGTAGGCTACCTAGATCTCTCACAGTAAGACCCGTTACAGCCACTAACAGTCGGGATAAGACACTTTAGTTTCTGTTGCGGTTTGGTTTTGTCAAGCTTATCAATTCAACTGGTGTCCTTTGATAACACGAGGTCCCTTTTTCACCGCTGTCAGGCCAGAAATACTCCACCCGGTTCATAACAAAGGAAAACAATGACGTCTTCGATAACATCCACGTCTGTGTTCTCACTGGAACAAGAAGGACGTCAGTGCTACCGTAAGTTCAGCACTACTGCGCAAATCACCATTTAACGGCAAAATAAAATTAACTTGCTCTTTAAAATAATGGTGAATTTATAAAGAAGTTGATCTTGAATAATTACATTTTACAGAACTCAAATCGACGGTTCAAAGTCAGATTTTCTGTATACGGTTAGAGTATACAAGACAAAGGACGTGGGCGCATTGGCGAGAAATGTTTAGAGATGGCATTTCCCGCTAGCGCCTGTGTTATGATTCATTACACTAACATCTATAACGGTGTTACACGTAAGCAGTTATTCCAGGTCACTTGAACTTAAAAACACACTTAACGCTACAAGCTGTACATGTATCTGATAAATGGTACACAGTGTTATCATAAAGATGTCCTCGACATTCATTAGTGTGGTTCAAAATGTGTACGAACAGTTCTAACAGCATGGACAATTTCCCAATTTGGGATCAATAAAGTACGATCTATCTATCTATCTATCTATGGAGAATAGGGCTAGCAGTAGCTATTGTTTCACGTTAGCACAACCAGTAATGCTAGAATGTGATGGAATTCAGCTAATGTTAGACAGCTAAGTGGGCTAACAGTGTTTCTACGTAGTTTAAATTGACCGCCCACCCAGTACAAAAGGGAAAATGAACAAACACGAAATAAATTAAAGCAGCCGGTTTACAGCCATGAGTGCAAGAGGTACAAGCACACGATGGCTAAATAGAGGAGAGACCTGTCAATCAAATCTCAACGTCGCGTTGCTTTAGCCACGCGGCCAACTAGCCACCGGCTGCCGGCTAACCTCTGGCTGTGATTTAGCTCAAAACTGAACCCTGACAATTCTCAAAAACCGTCAATTTAGCTAGCTAGGATGCCAACCTTGCCACTGGCGGTGCCTCCAGATACACCGATGAGAAAAGGTTGTCGGATAACGTCGGTTTTCTCGCCACGGTCCCTAAGATGTGTTTCACTGTCCCCGGCCATGCTTGCAGTGTACAGTCAGAGCTGCTGTGCTCGAAGATCATTGAAGTAGAGCTCCTCCCACAGCATCAACATTCACTTTATTTATCCGCTTTTTCGTTTCTAAGTTAATTTATTTACATGTATTTTTTATTTAAAGGGTCAACTGTGATCTACGTTGTTTATATTCGACTTAAAATATACATTTATAGACATTATCTGCATTTTTCTTTTTTGTGATTGGCAGTGAAAATAACCAATCGTCTCTTACGCTTTGACGTCCGCCAGCCCCCATCAACCAATGGCACTCCCAGCAACGGTCGTATTAGTTGCTCCGCCCCCTTGTAGCTCATCAGAAAAATAACGAACTTTACATAAACCGTTATTTAGATACATAAACTTAAAGTACGCGTGGGAAGAAGCCTGTAGGTAAGTTTGACAATCCTTACATATATTCGTGAAACGTTGTGAATGACAAACAATACAAAACGAGAAAAAAGTAGCTTGCTTGTTACAGAATCACTTGCTGAAGCGAATGTTTAACTAGGCTACTGAAGTAAAACTGCTTTTGACGTTTCCCAATGTAGTCGGGTTTGCTTTAGATAAGGGAAATGTCTGCATAGCATTTACACACAGAATGTATATGTTTCAGTTATCGGCTAAACTTGGAGCAACAGAGCCATTTTTGAGCATGCTCCATAGGCTCGCTACGTCTCTGCGGCGGCCGGCTGTCCCTCCCTTCGCAGCCGCTGTACGGTGCCTTTCTTCGGGATCAGTGGACATCAAGGTCCCGCTAAACTTCTGGGCAGGGAAACGACGGACGAGCCAAGAGAAATGCAACAAGGAAAATGTTTACGAACCTGCAACAGGTGAGACACACAATTATTTGATATTCAGATCAAAAGTACACTAGTGTGATTATTAACATGCCTATTCTTAAAAAGCCACACATGGCACCTTTGTTGTGCAACCAGTTGAATGGTCCCTGACCCTGAGCAGTGTCAGTGGAGCAGATAAAAAGTTCCCACTTCCTGGCTATTAAACATAACTTCCTTATTACACAGCAGAGACTTGTTGATTTAAATGCTACTTAAAATGGGTTTCTCTGTCAACCTGTCAGCCACATTCAGCTGGATCATTTCCTTCTTAGCTTGTTTAGGACAACAAACCTCAAAATAAGGAAAGGTACTGATTGATTGTCAGCCTTTTATTGCACTAACTTCAAGTCTTTGTTTTTAAAAACCTAGTTATAGATTAGTTTAGATTAGATATACTTTATTGATCCTAAATTGGAACTTGTTTTGTCGCAGCAGCATGTTTACAATGCATTGCAAATACCTTTAAGAAATAAGCAAAAAGGACAACATTAAGATCCAAAATAAACATAATCAGTTACTATATACATATCAACAGTAGAAATATAAATATCTATAGAGTATCTGTATAAAACCCAATTTAAAACCAACTGAATAAGTTAGAATTCACTGTAAAAAGTGCTCTGCTAGAATGCTCTGTCTGGCTGGGTTCCTTGTTTTAATTCAGATTTCGTGACTCCATTTGAGCACAGCTTGTGTGCAGCCCACTCATCAGGCGGAATGGTGCTCCTTATTTTGCCTCTCATTGGAAAAGACAGTGTAAAAACTAAGCTGTATTCTCAGTGCGTTACATCCTGTGGTGTCCAGGCCTAAACTTAATTTCCTTATGTATTGAAGGATGGCTGAACCAGTGCATACTATGTGAACAAGTCATGGCCTAACAAAGTAGAAAATGCTATTTTATTTATAACCTGTGTACTTAACTGTTATTACCATCACGTGTCTCACTTTGCAGGGCGAGTCCTGTGCCCTTTGGAGCCGTGTGGTGCGGCGGATGTCAATCAGGCTGTGGAGGCTGCCAAGTCTGCCTTTGGTCATTGGAGCAAAATGTCTGGGATGGAGAGGGCGAAGATCATGATAGAAGCTGCTCACATCATTGAGGTGTTTTTCTTAATTTATTTTCTCCAAATTATTATTATTCAGTCTCTGCTACTAGAATATGTACATTTGCCCAGATGACATAAGAACTGTTGCAGAGAAGGGCTGCATAATGAATTAACATTTTATCGTAATCGCCATATGGACTAGTGCAATATTCAAGTCGCAGGAAGGAGAATATCTGTTATTATATATATATTATTTATTTAATGCAGTATTTTTTTATTGCAGAGATATCCCGGCCTATGAATAGTATTCTATCAGACTTAATAAAACATTTATTTGCTACAGATCCTCTTACAAAATCACATTTTACTCATTTTTTTAAATGAAAAGACTGCAAAAATGTAGTTCCTCCCATACCTGCAATTAGTTATTTTTTTAAATCATGCAGCCCTAACAGAGAGTATTTTGACTGTAGGTCAAATTTGGTTCCCTAAAAGGTCACAGAGTGCTTGTACTTGATGAAGAAAGAGTGGCCTGTTTTGTAACTCCAGTTATGGATCTGAGCTGTTTGATTACACAAACACGATGTGTAACACTTACCCTGGATTTCATGCACAGCGCAGGAGAGAGGAGATAGCTGAAATTGAAGTAGTCAACAACGGAAAGTCCATCACAGAGGCTCGTCTGGATGTGGATTCGGCCAGACTGTGTATAGAGTACTATGCAGCGCTGGCCACCACTCTGGCAGGTTGGTACAATACAACTCGCTCATTACTTACGTGTTTTCCCACTTTCGATCAGAATCAGGTTTTTTTGCCCAGTATGTTTACTCGTGTAAGTAATTTACATTGGTGTAAACACAATATAGTCCAGTTGCCAGCTTAGTGAACAAGGAAATGTTGAGTACACCAAAGTTTTATGATAGAAATGTATATTACGGTTCCCCAGCACATAGAAACTGCTGGATGTTAACCTGCATATGTTGGGAAATTTGCACAGTTAGCATAAGTTGCGTTAATTGAAATGAATGGCATTATAGCCTATGTAAACAATGACTACCATGAGTAGTGTTGCGAGCATTGGATATAGAGAGCACAAGATACAAATTATTATCTCTACTGTGGACAACCTTTCTTCGAATCAATAGGCAATCTTTCCAATACAAATTATCCAGAGTCCTCTAAATCTTTAAATCCAACCCAAAAAGGCTATAATAGTAATTCCTGCTTATAAATTCAACTTATGCCTATTGTTTAAATTGCCCAACATATGCAAGTTAGCATCTGGCAGTTTCTATGTGCTGGGGACCCGTACTATATACTTCTCTCATAAAACCGTTGGGATCTCAACATTTCCGGGTTCACAACAGGACTCTGTGAGCTGGCAGCTAGACTAATAGGAGGAATTAAGTTGAAAAATAATTATAAAAAATAAATGTTTACAAGAAATATAAATATACAAAAATGAAAGGACAATAAGAATAGGAACATTTACTCTTAGAATCAAAATATGTGCCGTATATCAGTTTACAAAGTGGAGGGTCTCGAGACCAATATAGTAGCTAATAAACAGAAAGACACTTTACTCAATATCTAACTATATAATCACTTAGTGGAAAGCCACCAATAAGATGTTGCTTTACCAGGGTTTTTAGCAGTTTAACTTAAAAATGTAGTGAGAAATATTGTGATTAAACTGAAAATGAAATAAAGCGATATGATTTAAGAAACATTAAGCTCAAATTATATCGATTGGGTAAAAAAAATCAAAATATTTTAGGTTTATTGGTGTAATATATCACTACCAAAAAAAAGGAGAGATCATAAATATTTGTAAAAAAAATTCCACAGAGTTCGAACAGACATGAAATTGTAGGAGATGTTAATACTTCACAATATACTCCCTGTTGTTATTGTCTATTACACTTTAATAACAAGAACATGATATATTGTACTCAATCAAATCACATTCAACCAAGCTCTTCCTCGCAGGTCTATTGTTAATCACCTCAATTTAGTTTCTGTGAAGTAGTGTAAGAGAACTTGAGGTTATTCCCACATCTAAAGATTTTAAGGTTATGGCCATTCCTACAAAGTTCTCTAAACATTTATTCTGTATGTTTTTTTATCTCCGTACTTCTGAAACATAATATCTGACCCCAACAAAAATAGTCAATAAAAACTGGAATTCAACTGAAACATAATCAAAATGTTAGCACAACAATACAAATCAAAAATATAAAACTACTGACACCGTTACTGTGATATGACTCAGATCTATTTAAACATTTATTTATCTACTCAACCTGAACCCTGAGAAGTACTGCTGTCATATTGTATGTGTTGGTAAGAGAAAATGCTTAGGCAACACATTCCAATGTACGCTGCACCTTTGAAACGTGAATCCTAAAAATGTCACCTATATTCCGTGTCTCAAGGCCAGCATGTGCAGTTGCCTGGGGGATCGTTCGCCTACACCCGCAGGGAGCCTCTGGGCGTCTGCGTCGGCATCGGGGCCTGGAACTATCCTTTCCAGATCGCTGCCTGGAAATCTGCTCCAGCCCTGGCCTGTGGTAACGGAGACTATTAAAGCTCTTGTACAATAACCATAACAATTAGCTTTAGCACAACATATGTACACCATTCCTTCTGTAAGGTCAACTATGTCTGTTTGTTATTTAGCCTAACGTTAGCTTTTTACTTCTGCCAGTTGCATTTACGCTACAAAAATCATAAGCGTGGTGTTAATATGTGAAGAAGATCCAAAAGCCTTTTTGTGTTTGGATAAACCTACAAGTTAAAACATTATAAAGTACTTTATACATTGGACCAAACATCTTCTACACATTGCATACAATCCTTCTTGAATTCTGTGCTATTGGATAAATATTGGAAATGTTTTTCTGTAATTGGTAGTGTTTTTCTTTTTAGATGTGGCTTATTGGACAAACACTGCTATAACTCACTCATTCAAACATACTCTGCTATTTAAGCCACAGTTACATGTCAGGTTAGGTACTGTATGCTAGTTGCACGGAGCAATCCTGAAAAAGGTTCTGGCACTTCACCTATGGATGGCACTACAGCAGGGTCACATTTTAGACATTTTTGTTGGATTACATTTTGGAATTT